ATGAGAAGGTTTTGATTAATTTCGTTGACAGCTAACAGAAGAAATTGTCAAAAACATGAGATAAGCCAATTAAATGGTTTCGTTGAGCTTTTAATGGTCAACTGTGCAGCTTATTGGAGAGATTGTCATCACGTTAAGATTAGTCAATGTGATTCATCATGGGAAAGTTGAAGGGATTTTATTTTCTCGGAATATCTATGAGGTGTCTGAATTATTAACGAATCAAACATACATTTAAAGCTGGATTTTAATAATTGTGATAATTAACGCAGCGGTAAAGATTGACATTAAGAAAAGATTCTTAATTTTTAGTCCATGAATAAAGTATTAATTATTGCTTATTTCAGGGCCTTCTCTTCACAATCTCCACCTCCACTCCATGCTTGTTTGTTTGATATTATTTAAGTAAAGAAAATGATATATCATTAATTAATAGAATAATTAATTAAGTTAATAATTTAATGAGTTTGACGAATTACAACTTTACAAGTAATGAATAAATGGCCATATGAAAGAGAGAGGATACTTGCCGTGTTGCAGACAAGCTGGGAATTTTTAACTCCCCACATCCTCCGGCTATTTCATAATAACAGGCTAATGGCTGCAGTTGGCAGGTTTGTAAAGTAAATTTTTGAGCCAAAATGCAGAAAATTAAGTTTGAATTTACAGTTTAAAAAAAAAAATGTTAATTAATCATGCCTTTACCAGAAACAAAATATAGGCATTGCTACTGTTTATCATGTGTTGTATGTAAATTGTTACTGAATATGAAAAGAACAAATGAACAATAATGGTATTCCTAAATTCTAGAGTAACATAATGAAAGCAAGAAAAGAATTTTTTTGAGCAGCTTTTTCTGAGTGTTGTGGCTCCGGGAAGGACGACAAGTGTTGTGGTCAGTGGTCACCAACTGGCAACATGCATATAATTCAACTCTACTCTATTATATATATTCCATAAATTTATAATTCCAGGAAAGCTTTCAACTTTTTTCCAGCAATAATTTGATGTGTAAAACTGTAAATGAATTATTAATAAGAGAGAAACGTTAACGCGTTGCATTGCAGAATGTAAAAAAAAAATGAGATGTGAAGGTTAGCTCAAAATACTAGATTTGAAAAAAGTGGATGTGCAATATGATCTGCATGCAAAAGGGTGTGACATGATGCAGCAGGCGAGGCCTTCTGTCATAAAAGATTCGAAAGTTTGAGAGAGAGAGAAAAGAGATGCTTTAATATGGTACACAAAAGAAGAAGATGGTCCATGGAGTGGTAGCTCATAGCTGGACTGATGACAGTAGAGGAAACAAAGGAACGTTTTCTTTTACAGAAGAATAGGGAATCTAAGCAGTGATATTGCTCACCCATAGCATAGATAGAGATAGATAGATGGAGAGGCTGCTGATGTATAGAGTACTCAGTGACTGATCAGTTCAAAAAAAAAATACAATAATAATTCAAATCTCGCTCTTTCTCTCTCGTTCTTTGTGTTTTCTCTCTACTCTATCAATATCAGTTGGTCAAACACAAAAGAAACTGATACTTGATACTTGGTGACTGAGGAAGATAAGGACCAGCATATCTTGTTCAAAATTTTATCCCTCATTACTCAACCTGTTTTTATAAAGGAATCTATGTATCTTTTGTCTGTTTCGATGATCCTTCTTCTTGTGTTTTTCTTCCACTTTGCATCTCTCTACTGTTTTACAAATCAAAACAGTGTATACTTTTTTAACCTATGTACTGTATGTTATTCTCAATTTTTTTTGGTAGCTAGTTTTGAACTGTGTTAGCAATGAGTGATTGGATTTTTATTTCATTTGGACCATCATCAACTGATTCCTCCAGTTAGGTCAAATGAAGATGCATATATATGGCTCATATTATATGATTATCTCCTCATTACATTTCGGGATACTTCACGGGAAATGTAAGCACACTACAAAAATTATTAGGTCATCTTGAAAGTGAGTTCACAATCAGAATCATTCCTTTGAAATTAGTGTCTCATCAGTTTCAGTATAACTTCCCATGGGTGTGCTTCACTATGTTTAAAACATTGAAAATCTTCGCGCCCTACCCATTAAAGTAACTTGCCAATAATTGGGTTTTTATATCCTCAAGCGTAACCCAACCCAAGAGCAAACTGGGTTTAGGGTTTATATTGAGTTTGATTTTGGGTTCATGGACTGGGTCTAAATATTATCACTGGATCAATACTCTTGACTTTCCGGCCTGTGGCTTTTGTGCCTTCTTAGAAAGCGGCACCGTTGGTTCCTGGAGGCATTAGGAATTTCCTACAATTTTAAGACCTTTATGTTGAATTTGAGCTTTTGAAATTTTAGTTATTAGTGTAAATTTAACAATTGTGAGCTTCAACTTGTAATGATATTGATGCACTCAACTCTACCTTTTATGAAATCGTACAAGTTCATGGATTAGAAGTTCATAAAATGTAAATCAGAGATTAATAACTTATTTAGCTTAATGCTTCTCTGCTTTTCAGAATATAATTCACCTCCCCAACATAAATAATATCCCAGCTAAGCTGAAGCAAGAGAAGATTTATACACAGAATGAAAGTTCACAAATTTATCAGTCTGTCAAAGATTACACAAATATGGTTGTATAAGTTTATTGAAACATATCTACAAGAAAACTCGGTCCAAAAGTTTTACATATTGGTATGAAAACATCGTAGTCTAGGAACAAACAAACGAATACACATGAAAATGGAATTGGAAACATATATGAATTTAACCCAACTGACAGGTGCACCATACTTTTTACATAGTAGAAATCAACTACAAGCAGAGAATATCAGAGTTTCAAGAAGGATGAAGACGGACCAACAAAAATGCTAGCCATGTACTGGTTGTCCTGCACTCCCAGTTGCTCTGTATTCTGTCACGCTTTCCAGGAGGTGATGTGATGCTTTCTCAAAATTAACAAATCCCATGAACCAAAATTCGTGCCCATCAATGGTGACAATCTGAATATACTTCTCTGATGAATTTTCTCTAATGCTCACTGGGTTGGCACTGCTTATATTTGCCAAAGGTATCATGACCTGTTTCAAAAACATGCCAAGGGAATGTTATATTTATTTAATGTTCACAACCGAAAGGTTATTTACAATCGTCAAGATTGGGATAAATTTAGTTAAAATGTAATTACTTTGTAGTAGCTCCAAGTCTCCTGTCCCGATGGAGCAGTGAAAGATAAGGGACGATCACTGCAAAAAGCCACCCGAGCAGTTGATAAATAGAGGGTTCCAGCAACAGGACCAGTTGTTGTGGAAAGGTAACAGGCAAACGTCTTCTTTAGCTTCTCATTTGGATCAGTTGCAAATATCTGCTTAAAAAGAGACTCAAACCCTCCCTCTGTTATTGCTTTGGCTGTCAAATTTACCTTTCCCCACGCAGCTTCAGATACAGAATTCCCAGTTTTGACTGCAAATTTGTTAAAAAATAAGGTAAATTGGTGATTCAATTGATCATGCATCAATAAAAATATATATTCTTGAATAGTTAAAATATGCAAATTACGGTTGTGCCAGATGTTGCGGGCTACAGTCTCAGCTTTCCGGCTCCAGGAATTGAACATATGAATCACAGGCTCTAAAGGGTTGTTAGTTGGCTTTTCAATAGGGGAGTAAACTATGTAAGGCTGCTGGTAGATTTGCTGATGATCTGAAGCGTTCCATGAGGCTGCCTTCTGGTTGTCTGGGTGAGCAGTAGGGTCAGCTGGTGCTCCCATGATGTGGGTGCCCCATTTCTTGGTTTCCTCTTCGGAGGGTGGAGTTGAAGATGGCTGAGGCTGTGTTGCCTCTGTGACAGTGGAAGACAATTGGGGTTCATTTGATGCTTTTTCTTTAGCTTTTGGAGATGATGATGGTGGACCTGATTGTGTTTCTTCAAGTGTTCCTGTCATGATGGTTGATGATTGACTGGAAGTTATGTGTATGAAATTGGGATTCTTCTGGTGTTGCTTTTGTTATAGATTGGTGATCAAAAGCTGGGAAACTTTACCATTTATAAAGGAAGATATTTTATACACACGGCTTTAATTCCTTAGCAATGAAGCCTGTCTCGACAGGGAAAGCAACATTCTAGATTTTGGAAGAATCCTTGGCGGCATAGTTATCCAGAAGGGTTATTTATGTAAAAGGATCGGCAATTTCTGATACTTTGTTGACTAGTTGTTATCCCAGGAAAAAAGCTAGAAATTTCCAGGCTCGGAGTCTTACATGATGCTTCCACAGCTTATGAATATTTCTGTATTGTATTATTCATGGCCATAGATCACGGATTTCGCTCATAATTAAAACTCCACTGCTGGGTCCCCTAACGAGATTTTGTCCAAACATCTTAATTAAGACTTTTCTTCATTAGGCATCTGTCCTGGTTTGAATATTAGATGTTTTTTTTTAAATGATCATGGATATCTGAGTTTATGCGTATTTCAATTAATTCACAGAGATTTTGAGATTTTAAAATTATCAATTATATAAGAATTTTAATAGTTATCTTTACTAATAATAGGTGAGCGATTTAAACTCAAAATCTCTTAAATAATATACAAAAGAGTTTATATTAAATCATTTAACTATCTAAAAGTAATTATATTATTTATTATGAAGGTGTAGTTATTTAATATTCAATATTATATGGGAACTAGTTACTTATTCATTTATAAGTTGAAATCACATACGACGGGCATCAAATGATGCTCTATGAAAATAAAAAATTGAGTGAAGTTCTGTTTGGAGTTGTGGTTTTGGAAATTAAGAAATGAAATTCGCCGAGAGATCCAAACTGTAAACTAAAAAATCAGTTAAGACAAACCAGTTGTTGTTAGATGTTGAATGGTGGTTAAAAAGTTAAAAACAGAAGAGTTAGTTGGAGCGTTTAAGATCGACGTCGTTTCGCCACGACACGTGAAGGATAAATTTGATTTCACTCTTGATCTTGATTGTATATTTGTATCCGGTTCACTGACAAGTCGTCTTGTAGTTTTTGGCGCTCATCTTGAAGAAAAGTAAGTGGGAAACTTCCTTTTTGTCTATTAAATTCCTCTGCATTTTGGTGTATGTAGTGGCCTCCACACTCAAGTTACTCACTGTTCTATCTTTCTGCCATTAGAGCGTCCAACTCCTAGCAATGAGTTACCGCCCTGTTCCTCCTTACCCACCACCAGGTACGGGATTTGATTTTATTCTTCTTTTTTTTTTTTTCTCTTTTTAATTTCGTATTATTATGTGAAGTGTTATTTTCTTGAACTTTGGCTGAAGATAAGTTATTTATGTGTAGTAATTGATTATATGAGGTTAAACAATTTGTGTTGTCATGCAATTCAGGGACGCCACCTCCGTATCCTCCGCCACCAGGCTACCCACCTCCACCACCGCCACCAGACTTCCCACCTCCGCCACCACCTGGGCCTCCACCTCCCCCTGGCTACCAAGGCTATTTCTATGAAGGGTACCCACCACCACCACCACCTCCTCCTCCACCACAACCTGAGGGCCGAGATGACACTGGCTGCTGTTCCTTTCTAAAAGGATGGTAAGTGATTACTGTCTCTATCTTCTACAAATATATGATAATGTTTCTAATTACCGAAAGTAATTTGTTTGGGCTAGGCAATTATCTGTGATGGATGTGTTCATTGTTTAGGTCACCAACTGCCAAGTCTTAAATGAAAATCTGTTAACAGATTGTATAAACTAATAACCAGAAGTCTGATAAAAAATCTTAAAAACTTCCTTTGAAGAAACAGCAAAAATTCTTAGCTTTAGCTAAAGAACCATTAGAAGAGTACTAGATTCTGGAGTAGTTGGGTTTGACAATATAAACTCATCAAACGTGAAATGGCATAGGGAAAAATTTAATGTTGATCAACGTTTGTAGATTTTTGCTCTTCGTATAAAGAGGATACAGAACCATATTGTTTGTAGATCAGAGAACACTATAAGAAGGCTTAGAGATAACAGGGAATTAATGTTTTATTTGCAGCAACCAATTCTTAGTTTAAGAACAATCTTAAAATGGCTTCAACCCTGCTCTAAGCTTTGTACTATTGTATGCAATAGCACCACTAAACTTGAGTCATGAATTTGTTTGGATATAAATGTTGTAAATATAGCTGTTTCATGCTAAACTGAATCTCTGAGGAATGATGAATGAACTGCTAAAAGCTGGTAGACGGTTTTATTTTTTTTTTTTTTTTTTTTAATTTCCTCCTCTTCTTTCTTGTATTTGCAGTTTGGCTGCAGTTTGTTGCTGCTGTTTGTTGGAGAATTTGTGCTGCCTCTAGGCCTCTGCATCCAACACTCAATTACCCTCAAGTGTTCCCATACTTTGTATTACAAAATTAAACTTCGTATGCCTTGATTGCATACTATCTGATCTATGTGCTGAATTCTAAGATTCTCTATATTTAGTATTTACGATTAAGGCATTAAACCAGTTTAACCTAATGTTTTTTTATAATTAAAGTGGTACAATCATATATGTTTACGAAGCTTCTTGAATTTGACAAGTAGGTAGATACCGACCATTGTTTGCATTAAGTATTCTGTCTTAAAGCATTGCTTGTACATCCAGCATCGCACTGGCAAATGAATTGTCCGATTGTAATTTCATTTTCAACCCATCGTTTTCTAAGATCAAGATATTTAGTCTGAAAATATGACATGGCTTAAAATTATTTCTTTACTTCCACCTTAAAATTTAGTATTTTCACATACATAACACGTTGAATTATGAATCAAATATATAGAGAGAGAGATGAGATCTTTTAACTTAAAACTAGGCCTCTCGTCAATTAATTTTCACCACTTCGATCATCCTGGTTTAGAGTTTAGTAAAGATTTAACATACTAGGAGATGACCGAAGTGGCGAAAATTAATTGACAGAGGAAGGCAATCAAAGGAGATTGATAAAGAGAAATCTATAACTTTGATTTGGATAAATAACGATTTTTTATTTATTTATTTTTTTTAAATCTGCAGATCAGTTTTACATGCATAGAAAGTTCCACCTTTGAGTTTTGAATTATCAAACGCTTTAAAGAATTTTCCTCGTTGGATCCGCGGCTGATCAAATTGGTCAACTTGAATTTTTGATTTGATTTTGATCTCTATTAATCGAATTGGGCAAAATTTCTAGTCGGCTAAACTATGACACTGCTAAGCCTATAATAAGAACAACTAAAAAGGTTGCAAAATAAACACCTTGCTTATACAAATCTATATTACTTTTCAAAGGTGTTATTTGACTTTCATCCTTAACGTTTGCAGAATGTTTGAACTGACATCTAAATGTAAGTGTTATACACTCCATCTCGCAAGGATTGAAAGTTAAATAACCTATTAAAAGTAAAAAAATGGCACCGTCTTCTGTAAACATCAAATATTTTAAAAATTGAAAAGTAAACGCTTGCAGCTCAACGTTGCCGGCCAAATCAGTCCGCCTATACATTATAATATTTACACTACTTGGCCACCAAGTAACGTTCTCAATATAAATAGGCAAATAGCTTCTCAACTCAAAACGCCATTAACACAAACAAACCATCTTCTTATCACTCAAAACTTCAAAACTTGTGAACCCACAAATCAATAACATAAACAAACACAAAATATCCCAAATGGCTTCTCTGTTGGGTCCACCAGAGCTCCACAAAACAGCCCCAAAGCCATCACAGTCTCAGCCACAGCAACCCTCGGCTGACCGTTTCATTGATCTGATGGTGGCCGATTTCAACAAAACGACGGTGGCTGCAATGCCTCCCATGGGCTTCACCGAGAATGGTTCACCCACTTTTCTTTCTTCAGGCAACCCTTGTCTCGATTTCTTCTTTCACGTGGTCCCCAACACTCCACCTCACGCTTTGACCCAGAGACTTCAAGCTGCATGGGCCCAAAACCCGTTGACCACCCTCAAACTTATCTGTAATCTAAGAGGTGTACGTGGCACCGGCAAGTCCGACAAGGAAGGCTTCTACACAGCTGCGCTTTGGTTACATTCGCTCCACCCCAAGACCCTTGCATGCAACGTGGCGTCATTTGCGGAGTTCGGGTATTTTAAGGATCTACCAGAGATAATCTACCGACTTCTGGAGGGTCTAGACGTGAGGAAATTACAAAAAGCCGAGTGGATGCAGAGGAAGAGAAGCAGAAGAAGAAAGTCTCACGAACAACGTGGCTACAGAGTCAGAAGCAGAGGAGGCCGCAAACAACGCAGAAAAGGCCGCAAACAATCGTTGCTTCCAATAGATACACGAATCAAGAACGCAGAGGAAAGGAACAAAATTGTGAAAGAAAAAGCGAGCAAGTTAAGAAAAGAAAAACGATTCGGGATGGCAAAGAAAGTAGTGGAGAGATATTCACTTGATCCGGATTTTCGGTTCTTGTACGACCGCGTTTCAGATCATTTCGCGGAGTGTTTGAAAAACGACATGAAGTTTTATGAAGCTGGTGAGTTTAGGAAAGTGAGTCTAGCAGCTAAGTGGTGCCCCTCTATTGACTCATCGTTTGATCGATCGACGTTGATTTGCGAGAGTATCGCAAGAAAAGTTTTTCCCAGAGAGTCTTATCCTGAATATGAAGGGATCGAAGAGGCTCATTACGCTTATAGAGTTCGTGATCGGTTGAGAAAACAAGTGTTAGTACCACTGCGGAAGGTTCTTGAATTGCCAGAAGTGTACATTGGTGCAAATAGATGGGACTTGATACCGTATAACAAAGTAGCCTCTGTCGCCATGAAGTTTTATAAAGAGAAGTTCTTGAAACATGACCAAGAACGATTCAGTAAATACTTAGAAGAGGTACAATCTGGTAAGGCGAAAATTGCGGCGGGTGCATTGCTTCCACATGATATCATAGCGTCTTTGGGGGATGCCGACGGTGGACAAGTGGCAGAGCTCCAGTGGAAGAGAATGGTTGATGATTTGATGAAGAACGGTAAATTGAGAAACTGTTTAGCTGTAAGTGACGTTTCAGGTAGCATGACAGGAATACCAATGGAGGTCTCAGTGGCTTTGGGTATTCTGGTTTCTGAGTTAAGTGAAGAGCCATGGAAGGGAAAAATAATCACTTTCAGTGCAAACCCTCAGCTTCAAATAGTGGATGGAGATGATCTAAAATCAAAAGCTGAGTTTGTGAGGAGCATGGATTGGGGAAGGAACACTAATTTTCAGAAAGTGTTTGATTTGATATTACAAGTGGCAGTGAATGGGAAGTTGAAGCCAGAACAGATGATTAAAAAGCTGTTTGTATTTAGTGACATGGAGTTTGATAGAGCTGGAAACAATCCTTGGGAAACAGATTATCAAGTTATTGTGAGAAAATACACAGAGAAGGGATACGGGTCGGTGTTGCTGGAGATAGTGTTTTGGAATTTAAGAGACTCTAGAGCAACACCGGTGGCTGCAACACAGAAAGGGGTGGCGCTTGTGAGTGGATTCTCAAAGAATTTGCTCACATTGTTCTTTGACAATGACGGGGCGATTGACCCGGAGCTTACAATGGAAGCTGCCATCTCTGGAAAAGAGTATCAGATACTAGCAGTGCTGGATTGATTGATTAAGAGTAAACGACATTCCCACCCTTGTTTCGCGAATCCACAAGTTCCCACCTTGTTTCATAGATTCTAAATTCTCACCCTTAAATCAATACATAATTATCGATTTTTGGGATCTAATAAATGCTATGAGTAATATTACACTTATAAATAAATTTTATAAAAATCTTCATGAAAAGTGAGATAATAAAAAATAAATAGAAAAATGAAACAAAAAGTCAAACTTATTAAATTCACTCTTCCATTCATTTTTTATTACATCGCTTTGTATGAAGATCTTTATAAGATTTATTTGTAAGTATAACATTATTATAAATGCTATTACCAAATTACCATTAACAGTTTTATTAGCAGAATTAGAATTGACCATCTTATTTTCAATTTTATTTCAATGGCACCCCCTTCTTGAACCTTTCACTTCATCCTCATCTCTAACCACCCAGCCACTATCACCATCCAGCCAAATTAATAAAATATAGTATGAAGTTTAGTAAATCCAATCAACCCATCATTTCCTAATTTCTTCCCAAATCACAATGGACTCTATGTTGTGCTAACAAACCTCCTATTTTTCTCGCTCTCGACTTTCTATGATTTTAAGTTTTAACCTTGAATTTTATTCTCTAATACCTCCAATTCACTCATCTTTCTCTCCCAAATTCATCTTTAACTCCGCCACCTCCGCATTCCAGTCTCATATATGATCCTACTATGCACACCATCTGTTCTATGTAAATTCTCTATAAAAAAGAATTAACATCTCTCATTTTATTTCTTAAATTATTTTTTCAATTTGAGAGTAGATAGTGGTATTGTTCACAAGGTAGATTTATTATGAGGCTTTGAGGAAGAAATCATATTTAGGATAAATGTTTTGGGAGAGTTGGGTGTGCTTTGGGTGAGGAATTTTGAAACTGGTGGTGGGCGGGTTGGCTATGGGAAGGTTGGAAATGATGGGAATCGTCGGCGACCAAGTAATTACACACAACACATTTAAAATAGCAAACCACATATCAACACTAAAGAAATTCACGATTAGAACTTGAATGCAGAAAGATGAGTGGAATTGGAGTTTTAGAGAATAAGATAGGGGTTTTGGTGAGCGTGAGGTGAGGATTCAGATGGAAGTGTTAGGGGTTCGTGGTGGGCCAAATCCAACTAGATCAGGCCTGAAACGACATTTGAATGGGCGGAGATGTTCACGGGAACGGTGCAAATCCGGCCAGAAAAATTTGTGTGCTTAACAAGGCTACGACATGAATTCTTTTTATGGATGAATAATGTAATTTCAATTCTCAATTTTTACATGATACCATTCAGATTTTCATGGTTATGTTCATGGAAGTGTTCTTTTCTTTTTTGATTATTATATATATATGTTTTTTTGTAGAGATAGTGTTATATCTCACCTGTTGAGATTATTCCAAATTAGTAAGAGCAAACGAGAAGGAGAGAAGAAAAAAGAAGGAAGAAGAAAAGAAGAGAAGAAAGAAACGAGATGGATAGGTTTTGTCGGGGAAAGTGGGGGAACTAGTGGTGGTGGCGGTGATGTCCAACGGCGACAGAATCCGGCCAAATCTAATTTTTTGCGGCTATCGCGAGGAGGGGAGTGACGAGGGGCTTGTGCAGAATTTGAGATGTAAAGGGTAAGTTGAAATTTCGTTCTTATTTAAGATTCAATGCAGTTCAAATTACCATTTTACCCTTTAAGCTTTAGATTAAATGATTTTCAGTTAATTTAGGGTAAGAATCTGGAATAAATGAAACTAAAGGTGACAACTGAAATTTCGATAATATTTGGGTGGGAACATATCGTTTACTCTATAGAAGAGAAAAATCAAACAACACTAAAAGA